CATAATCCCCAGGTATCATGGGAGGGACCCAGTGGGAGGTAATTGAATCATGAGGGTAGATTTTTCCCATGCTGTTCTCTGAAAGTGAATAAGTCTCACTAGATTTGATCGTTTCATGAAGGACAGTTCCTCCACACATACTCTCTTGCCTGCTGCCATGTAAGATGTGCCTTTGCTCCTTCTTCACCTTCCAACATGATTATGAGGCCTACCCAGCCATGTGAAACTGTGAGCCCATTACACCTCCTTTTCTGTATAAATTACCCAGCATCAGGTATTTCTTCATAGCAGTATGAAAATGGACTAATAAAAACAACTTTGGAAAAATATTTAGCAGTGTCTACTAAAACTAAATACATACATACTCATGACTCAGCAATTCCAATCCTAGGTATATTTCCAAGAGCAATGAGTCCATATATGTGTCAAAAGATATGTAAAAGAATGTTCATAACAGGTTTCTTAAAAGCCCAAACTGTAAAACAGTGCAAATATTCAGCCATAGTAGAATAGATGAAAAGTGGTATTATATTCATACAGATAAGTTCTACATAACAATAAAAGAAAATGAATTCCTTCTACCTAAAATAAAATGGATAAATCTCACAAATAAAATGATGAACAAAAGAACACAAACACAAAAGAATGCATTCTGTATGCTTCCATTTAAATGAAGTTCAGTAAATTAGCAAAACTACTTTGGCAAAGAAGAGCTTTCTGGGGTGCTGGAAATGTTTTATATTTTGTTATGTGTGGTAGTTACATGCGTATACCCATATGTTAAAATTTTTCGAGCTCTCTACTGAAGTAGAGCTTGACACTGAAGTAGTGTTTTTCACTGTATGTGAAATTATACCTCCATACAAAATTAAATTAAAAGACATATACAAAAATGATTATAGAAGCACTTTTATCATAGTTTCAAATTAGAAACAACTCAAATATCATCAGTAGTATAATAAATCAGTAAATTGTAATATATTTAAACTGTAGAATGCTGCATAAAAATGAAAAATAAGCAACCACTGACATACACAGAAACAGAGATGAATCTCAAAAACATAATATTGAGCAAAAGAAGTTGGATTACTTGACCCAGCAATTCCACTCCTAGGGAAATATCCAAAAAGGTTGAAAGCAGGGACCCAAGCAGAAACCTGTACCTCAATGTTCATAGCAGCATTATTCACAATAGCCAAAAATGGAAACCACCAAAATGTCCATGAATACATGAACCAGTAAACAAAATTTGGTATGTCTCTAGAATGGGATGTTATTCAGTCATTAATAAATAATGTATGGATATATGCTATGATATGGGTGAACCTTGAACACATTATGCTAAGTGAAAGAAGCCAGACACAAAAGGACCAACATTGTATGATTCCACTCATATGAGGTACCTAGAATAGGTAAATTCATAGAGACAGAAGACAGAATGGTGGTTACTGGGGTTAACGGAGGGGAAGTGATTATTTAATCCGTACAGAGTTTCAGTTTGAGATAATGGTAAGTTTTATGTTATGTACATTTAATCACAATTTTTTTTTAAAGTATGTATTCTTTTGCTGGACACAAAAGAGTACATACTGTATGCTTCCATTTATATGAAATTGTAGAACAGGCAAAATTAATATATGGTAAGGTCAGGATATTGGTTGCCTTTGGATGGGGTATTGATTAGAAGGGGGCAAGAGGAAACTTCCTAGAGGTCTACCTATATCTTGGCCAGGGTGGTAGTTACATGGATGTATACATATGTTAAAAAAAGAAAGAAAGAAGAAAGAAAGTCATGCTGTCACTTTACAGAATATAAATTATATTCCCATTTAAAAAGAAAAGATGGAAAAACTGTCATTTAAAAGTTGCTTGCATATTAAAAATCCCTTGCTTATGGAGATTTAGGCTCACCTGGAAGCAGATTGTCTCTTTGAGGAAGTCAGCAAAATTATCCCTTTCATTCTCACTGCTGTAAAGCTAGAAGCTCTGCATTTTTCCAGGGAGAACTACGACACACGTGAAACCTAAAGCAGAGATTCAGCTTCTTGCCTTGGTCACTCAAAGTGGGTGGGGTAAATCAGAGCTGCGTTTAGGAAGCTTAATTGCTTTTGAGAGTGAAGGGGAACAGGATAAGGGAGAGGGGACTGTGAATGAACTGAAAAGGAACTGGGCTGGAAGTGCTGCTTGCTCCTGGGCAGGTGATTATGGCCATGGAGGCGGAGGTGCGACACAGTGGCGCAGGCAAGTTTGCTGAGGGCAGCTGCAGGAAATAAGCAGAGATGGCCGAAGTGACTGCTTTCAATAAACTCGGTATGATTTTCAGGACACATGGTATGACTTTCAGGAGACTTGGTGTGAGTGGTGTTGCTTCAGGCACTGGGAGAAAAGTGTGAAACAAAGTTGTAATAATGGCAGATAATTTTCGTCACCTCTCTCATCTCCTTTCAAAACCTCGCACCCCGCAAACCCCTGGAGAGTGCCAGTTAGGAGCATTGGGACACAGTACCCTTGGTTTGGGCACTTGCAGTCTCACACAAAGCAACTTCTTTGGTGTGAATGGAGAGTAAGAACATGGAAAACATGGAGAGGGGAGCTGACCATGACCAGTTTGTAAGTACATGAATAAACGTCCTTTTTAGTTATGTTTTCTGCACAGAAATTCGGCACAGGGTGCAGGCAGCCCTCAGACAGGCAGCCCTTGATGGCTCAAAGCACTTTAACTAGGGCATTAAAAATTAAGATGACCTTAGTCTATCTATACTCAGCCCGGCATATGCATAACTGTCTATATATGAATATGTTAAGTATGCATGTATATTTTTAAAATTTATGTCCTACTGTATATTACTTTGAATCTACTTTTATTTTTGCTGAGCGGTGTATTTTGAGCATTTCCTGAGATCAGGAGCTTTGCCCAGTGGCTGAGGTCTTGCTACCCACCTCCAAGCTGGAGAGCAAACCATCAGCCCTCTTTTTTATTTTTTAATTATTTTTTTATTGCATTTTAGGTTTTGGGGTACATGTGAAGAACATGCAAGATTGTTGCATAGGTACACATGGCAGTGTGATTTGCTGCCTTCCTCCTCATCACCTATATCGGACATTTCTCCTCATGCTATCTCTCCCCAACTCCCCAAACCCCCGCTGTCCCTCCCCTATTTCCCCTTGACAGACCCCAGTGCGTAATGCTCCCCTCCTTCTTCCCAGGTGTCTCTCAGTCCTGTGCCTCCCCCACTGCCTCATAAGCTGTTTCTTCTTCCCAGCAGCTTTTTGGGTTTTGACATTATTGGGGGCCTGGATTCACTCCTTTCAGGGGGATAAAGAGGGGTCTGTTTTCAGAAGCCATGTCAGGTACAGTCCAGAAATCTAAGAGCAGGCAGGCAAGGTCATCCAATGTCGCTGTACTAGTGTGAAGAATATACCAACCCAGCATGCTCGCCTACCCCCAACGCCTCTCCACAGTTTAGGTGAGTGGGGTCAAGGGACTTGCTCTGGCATACAGCAAGTTGGTAGCAGGGATGGAACTTGCTCCCAAGTCTTCTGATTCCCCCAAGGTCAGTGGTTTCCCACCCCTCACCCTGTACCGCCTCCCCATAACTCCAGTGGAGAAATGAATTTATTAACAAACCACAAACTAAAGCCACAAAAACACTTTTATTTAATTGCCACCACAAATACAGAATAGAATTAAGGCAGTATAATGCATTTCCACTTATCCTCACAAGCTTTCATACAGTAAACTTTGCTTAAAGTGTCTATTTGAATCAGCAATTGAAATGTCTATTAAACAGCAGTTTTTTCTGTCTTGAATTGTAGAGAAAAATTATTTCCTGGTCTGTAAAGTGTGCTGATACAAGACATCTAGGACTTAACATCGTGCATTACTGAACCTTAGCCAAGTGTGGTGGGATTGGCTGGTGTCGGCATCTCTTCCTCCTCCTTGCGGGAGGAGTGCTCACTTACAACCTCCCAGCAGTGCTCCATTTGCTTCTTGCTGCCAGTTATTACTTTGAATTCCCTTTTGAATGAAAAAAAAAGTGTAAAAACTGTGTAAACACACCAGGCTGTTTAAAAAAAAGTCTCTGTGGTAAAGAGTAGTTATGACTTACAATATTAAAAACATTACCGTAATTGATCCTGGCAACTGTAAGACTGGATTTGGGGAGAAGAAACCAGTTTATGAATGGATTTGTTTCTCTGGAACTAAATGAAAAAAAAATCCTGGCAAACGTTAAAAACGGTAAATAATTACAAATAAGGTAAAAACATCTTATCATTTGCAACCATGTTTGACTATAAAAATCACCAATGTTTGAACTTTCACAAAATAGAAATAATTTGGTGTGTCCATATCTTTCCTTTTGCCATTTGATCTCATAGGCATAAAAAATGCATTTTAATAAGAGCTCATCAAAAAATTGTATTCTTCAAATATGGGTCATATGTTGTTGCTGAAATTCAGGAAAGAAACTTTCAAGTACTTGTACTTGATCACAACCACTTTTCTGACTGCTGTTTAAAGTCCAGTATAGAGTTGCACATTTAAGAACATAAAGCTGTGCAGTCATATTAATGGAAGCCTTCACCACAACACACCTTTACCATTGCGCATTCGGCCCTCTCCCAACCCCCTTGGGGAATGGGAGAAGAAAGCAGGAACAAGGCAGAGGAAATCAGGAAAGAGGAGGAGGGACACAGGAGTGGGAAAAAATCAAAGTCTAAAATTTCAGGGATCACTGAGGGCTGAAGGTCGACCATAGAAGTAAAGGGAGACTTAGAACAGCAGATGTCAAATTTGAGGGAAATTAAGGTCTCCAAAACAGGAAGCATACACACACTCACACACACACACACACTTTTATAGAGTACATTAAGTAAAGGAGGAGTATGCCTGATAGGTGGATGTAGCTTACACATATCTATGTGTCAGTGTCTGTGTGTAGATGCAGTAAGGTATCTCACTTTGGATTACATATGCAAAACAAACTGGAAAGGGGACCACTGCTTGGCCACCCACGAGAGCATTTTTCACACAGCCATTTCATCTGAATAATCTTCAACGTCAATAACCACAACATCATGGTCATCATTAGCAGCGGTGGTGACTACAGTAGTATCAGGAATGTCAGCGATGGTGTCAGGCTCCAGCTGGCTGACAGCAGGCTTGGTGGGCCCAGTGGCAGGGCTAAAGGCTGACTTAGGGATGTCACTGTCATCAGACTCAGGGTGGGCAATGGCAGGGATCTCAGAACAGTGGGAGGCAGAGAGCTCAGGGTGGTCACCAGCAGTGGGCTCAGGGTAGCTGGTGGTGGCAGGCTCGGAATAGTCAGCAGCAGTGGGCTGAGCATGGCTGGAAGCAGGCTTGATGTGGCCAGTGGTAGGTTTAGGATGGCTGGTGGCAGCACTGAAGGCAGACTTGGAGTGGCTGCCAGCAGCGACACAATGACCAGTGATGGGCTTAGGGTGGGTGGAAGCAGGCTTGAAATGAACAGAGTCAGCCTTGAAATGGACAGAGTCACCCTTGAAATGGACACAGGCAGGCTTGAAATGGACAGAGGCAGGCTTAGGGTAGACAGTGGCAGACTTGGGGTAACCAGAGGCAGGCTTGGAGAGGCCAGAGACAGGCTTGAGTTGGCCAGAGGCAGCCTTGGAGTAGCTAAAGACAGTTTTGTGGTGGGTAGAGGCAGATTTGCGATAGGCAGTGGAGGATCTGGAATGGGGCTTAGGGTGGCCAGAGACACGGTCAGGGTGGCCAGCTGCAGCATCACCAGGTAGTGGAACATTCCGGACATTCATTGGAGTTTCCTCCACAGCAGGAAAGCCATGGGGACTGTCTTGTTCAAGGGCTTGTTCTTGGGCTTGGTCACGAGCACGGGCACGGGCACGGGCACGGGCGTGGGCCAGGGCACAGGCCTCCTGCATCTCACGAATATCAGTGATGAGGCCAGAGAAGAATAGGATAGGGTGCCGCATAGCATGAAAGATGGTCCAGTATTCTCTTCGGAAATTTTCATTGAGGAGCCCATAGATCACAGCGTTGAGGCAGCTGTTGAAGTAGGCTATGAAGTAGGCTGCAAGATAAAGCCAGTTCGGGATCTTGCCTGCCATCTCCTTGGGGCTGACAGCCACCAAGACAGTGAGCACATTGATAGGGCACCAGCACACTGCAAAGAGGAGGAAGATCACAAACATGGTTAGAAAATTGCGAACCTCAGCAAGTTGGTTGTCAGGATTCTGCCCAGCAGGGTCACGGGCCGCCAGGACTTTGGTCCAGATCCTCACGTAGCAGAAACCCACGATGAGGAGAGGGAGGACAAAGTGGATGCAGACGATGGTAACGGCAAAGACAGGGTTGTTCAGATAGTTGAAGATGCAGGTGTAGGTGCGAGGATCGTACTCGATGGTGCCAATGTACATGTTGGGCAGGACAGCCAGGATAGTCATGATCCAGGTGACAACCAGGTAGATGCAGGTATTGCGCACACTGAAGATCTGCTCATACTGGAGGCTGTGGCAGATGTAGCAGTAACGGTTGATGGCAATTGCCATGATGTTGAAGATGGAGCCAACCACACTCAACCCTGTGATGAATCCGACCATCTGGCACTGTAACTGGCTCAGATCCCAGCCCCCAATGGACATGGCATGCAGCATCAAAGGGTAGGGGTAGATGGCCACCAGCATATCAGCCACAGAGAGACTGACCACGAACATGTTGCCTGAAAAACATAACAAGGGAGGGAGAAAGGGGAAAGACAGAGAAGAATAAATGGTTTAAGTACAGAAATCCACACATTTAAGGTGCAGGGGAAAGCCAGCTGCATTATGACCATTTAGAATTCTGAAAATCTTTTAAAGAAATGCAGTTGTGTTTTTATTTTTATTTACAAGCAGGCCCTTCATGGCTCTGGTGAGCAGCCAGGTTTGGGAGACCTGAACTTTGCCCACCTTTTTTCCTTTCAGAACAACGTCATCTCTGCTATGAGAAATAAGCAAACATAAGACAGAAGGCAGTGAGCACAAAAGCCCTACCAGGAGCATTCACACTCAGACAGGACCTTGCCGCCACCATTTTAGAGAAAAACAAAAAGCAAATGCTTCCCTCACTGGAGGTGAGGGGGAGGGAGAAAGAGGAGGGGGAGGGAGAAAGAGGAGGGGAGTAGAGGTGAGCTAGAGGGACCTGTCCTTAGGAAGGAGGCTGGAGAGTGGGGGACAAGGAGAGACACTGGAGGGAAGCCTCAAACTAAAAAAAAAAAAAAAAAGTAACGTAATTAGAAAAAGATAAATTAGCCATCTCCCTCCTAAAGTGTAGCATTGCATTTATAACGAATACATTACTAGAGAGAAGGTCCTGAGAAAAAGCATTAGAGACCATCTTCTTAAACAGTCGCTTCCGATGAGATCAAGCAGTAATATAAAACCTTGCCAAGTCAAATACTTACCGTTCCCGAGGTAACCTAAGAGCGAAAACCGAGGGGAAGCAGGAAAGACCTGTAAAATTTAGTCTGAGACCAACGAAGTGGTGAGAGAGCGAGCGGGGAGGGTGGCGCGAGGTGGTGGGGAAAGCGGGGCGGTGATGGGAGAAAAACTTCTGCAAATTTGCCGAAGTACCCGTTTCAGTTTCATGTCCCGTTCACGCGCAGAGCCGAGCACTGGCACATTCAGCGCCCTTCACAGGACTCCCGGCCCAGGGCACTGAACTTTACTGGAGCCTGCAGGAATTAAACAGGATAGCGAAGAAGAATCACCCCCACTCAGGTCTTGTAGGGCTGAGGTGGGAACTATTTTGTAAAACCTTTCACAAAAAGGAGAAGGAAGAGGCCAAGTGCAGGCGCAGAGCCCTCTTTCTTTGGAAACACCTCGTTGCTAATTAGCATTGGTTTGGCAAAATATTGCACTTGGTCTTGGACTAGAAGAAAATGAGCGCTTTTGGAAAGGGCAAAGGTATGGATCCTTCTGCCTCCTTCCACCAGCGCTGCCAAGACTCGGCCTCAGCACTTTCTACCGAAGAGGTTCTTTCTAGGGTTTTCCCTGAAAGTAATGAATTCAAGGAAGTGCAGTGGAAAAGAGAAGGGGAAAAGTCTTAAAAACAAAACCACAACAACGATAAAAGCCTTTATTTGAATTATAGGAGTAAGGAAGGAGAAGGAGAAACAGCAAGAAAAGAAGAAGAAACGTAAAGGAAAGAAATGGGCTTTGCAGGTCCCCCCCAAGGACTCCGTGGGTCTGCACCTCCGGACGCACCGCGAGGGTGAAGGTGAAGTCCTAATGTGTCGCTCCACGACTCCGGGAGACGAAGAAGAAATCGGAGACACCCAACAGACTTTGGAAGAAAACTTTTTTTTTTTTTTTTTTTTTTGAGACGGAGTTTCACTCTTGTTACCCAGGCTGGAGTGCAATGGCGCAATCTCGGCTCACCGCAACCTCAGTCTCCTGGGTTCAGGCAATTCTCCTGCCTCAGCCTCCTGAGTAGCTGGGATTACAGGCACGCGCCACCATGTCCAGCTAATTTTTTGTATTTTTAGTAGAGACGGGGTTTCACCATGTTGACCTGGATGGTCTCAATCTCTTGACCTTGTGATCCACCCGCCTCGGCCTCCCAAAGTGCTGGGATTACAGGCGTGAGCCACCGCGCCCGGCCCTGGAAGAAAACTTTTAATGACTGTGTACCAGTGAGTGCGTTTTGAAACTTCTTCGGTGTTCCTGAGTCCTTGCCCAAGCAAAGTAATCCCACAGACCCCGGTTGCCTCCATTCCCACCAGTGAGAATCCAGTTGTCTCCCCACCCTCTCGGACCCCTTTCGGTCCCAACTCCTCGCCCCAGCCGATTCAGACCCGGGCGGAGGAAATTCCAGGCGCCACCCCTTCCTCCCACAGCCTGAACCAGGAGTTCGGGCCCCTTCGCCCCTTCCCTTCTCCTCCAGAGCCCTCTCCCGCCCAACGCGTAAACCAGACTAGCGGCTTGGCAGTTTCTGCCGCCCCCACCCCCAGCACAGGTCACAGAGCCAGGCCTCCTCCCTCGCTTCCCTCCAGCCCTGCTCGCCGCCCGCCCCTGCCCCCGGCCCCCGGCACCCTCCCCCTCGGCAGTGGCTGGCAGCGAGGGAAGTCCTGCTAGAGGTTCCCATACCCTAGACCTTAGCATCCTCTCTGAGTCCCCCAACTCCCCTTCAGAGCTCTCCCTTTGCCCTCGCGCCAATCCCTACTCGGTTTTACTGCCTTCTATCCCTCCACCCCCAGCAGCGTTCAGCTCCCAGGCCTCTCCGCCGGCCCGCCCTGCGACCCCCGGTTCCCCGCTTACGGACCTCGAGATCTCCGCCGCCGCCGCCGTCGCTGCCACCGCCTGCTGTGCCCGACCCGCCGCTCGCCTCTCTCTGCCGCGAGCCCTGGGACAGGGCGGCTCCGGCGGGCTCAGACCTCCCTGCTCGATTCTCCGGCGCGGGGGTCTGTGCTCCGCCGCCCGGGATCTGCCCAGGAGACGCTCTGGAGCCCCAGAGCTGCGGCGAGCGGGGTCTTGGCCAGGCTAGGGAGAAGCCACCGCGTTGCGCTCTGGTAAGCGCCGCCGCGACTGCAGCCAACTTAACTTTCACAGATCAGGTCGCAGCCCCGCTGCTCCCTCCGCGTCAGTTAGGTCCGCGTTGCCTCAGCGCGGCAGCTCTTGCTGCATTCGGCTAGGCTTGCTGTCCCCAGGCAGCCCGCCTGACTCTCCCGCTCGGGAGCCGGCTCCGTCCGCATCAGGCTCGAACGAAACAGGGATCCTCCGGCTGCCACGCACCACGGTAACGCTTTGCACTTGGACGCCCAAAGCTGATTTTCTGAGCTCTCTTGGCCTTGAGAACCTCTACGTTTAGAGGGCCCAGCCAGAATACCACCACCCCCAGGCTTTCAGGGAATTTGGGAGCAGGGATGTTCAATGTGAGGGCACTATCCATAGATTCTCTATTCAGGGTGCTCAAAAACTAACGCCCTAGGGGTTGCAAGTCACTGCACACTGGGTAGGGAAAAGAAAGGGTGGCTTACCAGAATTCCGGAGCTTCTTGTTCTTCGTCACAGCCAAAATGACCATGGAGTTTCCGATTAGGTCTACAACAATGGTGATAACCATCGCGCAGAACATAAAGATGATTAGAGCCGGTGGGTAGTCTGGCTGGGGTAGCTTACAGCCAATACAGCCATATGGGGTGGGAACCGCTAGGGTAGGCCCCATGTTGCTGCTGCAGATCGTTAAGATCTCCCAGCAGGCTCGGGATCAGCAGTTGAGTCCAGACAGTGACCACCTGCTCTGTCACCAGGAGCTCCAGGAAAGCGTGCCTCCCTCTCTGAGAGTCAGAAAGCAAATGACAGCATCCCACCCCTCTCCGATGAGCTTTTAAAGCCTCAAGAGGCGGCCAGCCCCACCCCAAATCCCTCCCCCTGACCAATCAGAGTTCCCTGAACACCCCCTTGGCCACCCTCTGTTTTTGGACAAATCCACATTGAGGTGTCGTCTTGCTTCCGACTGCCTTGTAAGTGCTTCCCCTCTAGCCAGCCGCCCTCCCTGCCTTTCAATCTCCCAGGTACCTCGCAAGCATCAGCTTGGAGTCTACCTCCCCCTCCACACCAGCCGAATTAGTTTCTAGCAAGTTCTTCGCCCTCCCTCCTCTAGTGCAAACACCTGGCAAAGAGAGGTACATGGCCGAGCTAGCGGGAGCAAGGAGTCTTTCAAAGGATCCGGTTTCAGCCCAAGCCAGTCCGCAGCCCCCAGCAGGATGTGGGGGACAGCCTGTGGCTCCTTGAACCCTAGATGCTCGCCTCTGCCGTATCCTTGTGAGTTCCATCCCAAACCCCATGCCCTTGCCTGTCTAGAGCCTTCTGTGCCCCGTGGGGAACTGGGGAATACTGCTGGGAGCTCCGACCCCCAATCTGGGTCCTTAATCCCTAGCGAAGTTATCCCAGCTCCTGTGCTCGCCAGGAGCCGCTTGGCTCCCTTCGCGGCAGCCACGAGGAGCCGCTTATTCAAGTCCAGGTCTTGCACTCTCCATAAAGAGAAGTACCCTGCGCCCAGGTCTGGAAGCAGGGAGCGCGTCTGCACCCTGGGACCCGGGGAAGGCAGCGGTGGCCACTCGGTCCTCAGCTTTGGGGCGAACGGGAGCGGGAGCTCCTCTCCTTGCCAGCTGCGGGCAGCCCAGCGGCGGGAGCCACGGGAAGCTTTGGGAAAAAGTAAAACAGGCAATAAAGCTCTTTTCTTGGGCCCCTTCTTCTCGAGGAAACCCAGGACGAGAGGCTCTCATTCCTCTCCCCTCTCGGGGTGCGCTCTACTGAGCGGTACGGGGCAGTCAGGCAGGCTGAGGGAATGGTGCGGAGGTGTCCGGCGGCAAAGCCAAGAAGCCGCTGGCTGACCGGAGACCCCTGCCTCAGTCAGGATTCATCTCGGTCTTTAGACTTTCACATTCCCTTCTGGGGTTCCCTTTTCGACTCCATCCCTCTGAGGCCGCACCCCTCCTCCCGACCCCTCCGTCCACACTGCGGATCTCTGTTCCCGTGCCTCACGGTTACCCGGCGGTGCTCCCAGGATCTTGCCGCACAGGGACCACGGAAAATTCGAATATTTGGGCAAAACTAAAGAGGCGCGATTCTGACACTCGTTTCTTCAACAACAAAAATGCCCTTGGTCATGGGAATGGATTTTTGCCGCCTACTAAAAGTTATGGCTACTGTCGAGAAGCCTTCCAAAATCTCGGTAAACACCTTGAAACTTGTTCCAGACTAGTCTTCTTGCCACAGTAGGGGACAGGGGGTTGCACTGGCCAGGAGCGCCATCGTCTGGACACAGCCGCCCTCTTGCCCCGGGGTGGGTTGGGGGACGGACAAGGCAGGATGGTAGGGGCCGGCTCCGAGACAGACTTCAACGTTAAACTCTTTAACGAAAAAAAAGAGAAACAGACACTGTTGGAAACCAAAATTGCACACACTGTCTCTAGCTAAAAAGCCTAAAGTGGGAATGTGTCCCCTTGTTTGAAAATGAAGCCCCCTCCACAATCCTGCGGCTTTTGCCTCCTTGAACTGAATCCGGCGCGAGTTACAATCTCCAGCCTGGAGGCTTTTGACATTCATTATCTCACTGTTTCTTGCTGGCTGGAACTCCGGCCGCGCGCGCTCCCATTTTTCCCCATAAGTGCAGCTAGTGAAGGGACTCCAGTGTCCTCCGCTACACAGCTGTGCGACCTGGTAAGAGGCTGGCAATCAAAAGCCCGTGCGGATAGTGGAAGATTTTGTACGATGCACATCAGGCTGTTCTTGCTGGTTCCCCGAGTTTGAATCCCTTCACTTGTGGGAAGGAGCGGTTTTGAAGTAAAATAAGCAAACAAAATACATTTGAAGGAAAAAAAGGAAACCAGCATTCTAGTGTCTTTAGACATAAGACTCCCCCCGCCCCAAACAAGCCTGCGAGGAGAGCTTGCAAACCCTTAGCAGGCACTGCTACACTCCATTGTGCTGCCTTTCTGAGATACGGTGACCCTAGGGTCCCCGAGAATTCCCCACGGATGTGGTCTGAACAGCCCTGGGATTGAGGAGTAGGCAGGAGAGAGAGGGTGAGCTGATCCCCCGGCCGCTGCCCCTGCTTGAACACTACTTGACCATGACCTGATGGGACTTGGGTTTTCAATACTAGAAAAGAGGAAAATGTGAATATTTTAGTAATATAGGGAGACAGAATTATGTATCTAGTTAAATTAGTTTTCTTATTTTTATGAACTTGTCTTAATAAAGATTCTGAACATTGCTCCAGTACTAAGAAAATCAGATATTGAGTCAGTTGTAAGGATACATATGAGGGAGAGAATCCGTCCCTGTTTGCAAAGGCAAAAAAGTTTCATGTGCAGTAAGTTCAATTACTTTGGAATAGTTAAGGGGGAGTCCTTTACTGGATAGGGTGTGGTGTGCAAGGTTTAAGATTCCAATGGATTTTTAATTAAGTCTCTGAAAAGGCTTCTTAGGAAGCCCTAAATAACGGGAGTGCACAGAAACCCCGAGAATTCCCCACGGATGTGGTCTGAACAGCCCTGGGATTGAGGAGTAGGCAGGAGAGAGAGGAATGACAGAAGGCAAGTGAGCAGTTTCTACTTAGGAATGGGTAATCCTTCTGTGCACATGAGGGTACTGCCTGTATCTTCAGTTCTCTAATTTGCAGTGGCAATGGTGGAAGGTTACCTTTCATCAAGCATTCTAAGCTCTCTGTTTAACCCTCCAGCACTATAATAATACCTGGCTTGTAACTAGTGAGCCCAGTTTTAAATAAGCATAATATAGTTTTCAAAAGTTCATTAGGAAAATGTTTTCTCATAACAATGTCATTAAATAGATGGGAAAACTGAGGCCAAGAGAGGTGAAATAGCTTGTCCAAGGTCATGCCAAGGCTTAAATCCAGGGTGGGTTCCCTCTCAGCTTAAGGTATTTCTTCCACAGCACAACTTCATAAGACAGTGTTTTGCTCTGGAACTTAATAATGTGGACTCTGTGTTCTCTTTTTTGTTACCGTTGTTCTGGTTTTTGTTTGTTTGTTTGTTTTTATTGGGATGCAATTCATATACCTCATACCATAATATTCACCTTTTAAAGTGTAGAGTTCAGGAGTTCTTTGTATATACACAAAGTTGTGCAATCATCATCACTATCTAATTTCAGTACATTTTCAAGACCCCAAAAAGAACCCTCATACTAATCAGTAGTCACTCCATAATCTGTATAACCTCCCAGCTCCTAGAAACTATGAATCTGCTTTCATTCTCTATGGACTTGCCTATTCTGGATATTTCATAAAAATGGAATCTCTTAATATGTGACCTTTGGATCTGGCTTTTTTCCCTTAGCATAAGGTTTTCAGGTTCATCAATGTAGTAGGATGGGTCAGTACTTCATTCCTTTTTGTGGCTGAATAATACTCCACTATATAGATACACCGCATTTTATTTACCCATCCATTGGTGGATGCTTGAGTTCTTTCCACTTTTTGACTATTGTGAATAATGCTGCTATGAACATTTTGGGTTCTCTTTTAGTCCCAAGCAGCCTTGGCCCAAGTTAGATAGGCAGAGGGTCTCTTAGTGCCAGCTCACACCTCCCTCTCCCCCAGGTAAACCTGGACAGCCAGACAAGGCCTGTCCCAAGCACTCCAACTTTCTCTGGCCGATGCTTCTCTGAAGCTACTAGATCATTTGTTAAAGCTACATGGCACCATTGGTTGATACTCTAATGTATAAGACTAGCAAAATGAGAATTTGATGCAAACCCAATAAGAATGAAAATGTCTTTCAGTTGGAACATAAGCAGAACATTCTCAATTTGTTTCCACATATTTGGAGATATCTACCTCTTCATAGAAAGTTACACAGGAGCCTGCTTCACCCATCCAGGCCCTGCCCATCCTGCTGCTCCCATCCCAGCAGCTTAATGAAGGGGGACTTACATTTGACTTAATTCTTGAAAATAAAAACAAGCACAGAACCCAGCCTTACCACTAGTCAGATATGTGACCTTGGGCAAGTTACTTAGCCTCTCTGTGTCAGTTACTTCACTATAAAATGCAGATAATCATAGTGCCTCATTGTAGGGTTGATAGGAAAGTGAAGTGAGATAATGCCTGTAAGCACCTAGCATACTACACAGAACAGAGGGGGCATTTGAAAACCACTAGCTGTTACCATGTTATTATCCTGAAAGTTTCTGATACTCTGTCTAGACTCTACTCTGTTGCACTTCTATTGAAAACAGGGGCTCTCTGTGATATCAGGAGACTCTGCACCCAGCACACCCAGGCCCCAATTCCTGGCAGAAGCCAACCTATGGGCACACACCAGCATCCCAAGCCCCTGTGACTGTGTCATGGAAAAGGACATACAGAGTGACTTGCCTTTTCACTGTGCCCCACCTCCACCCCAGAGATGCTTCACTGACACAGTTTGTATCTTTTCCACAGGAAAGAACAATAAATTCCTTGACATCAGTTCAGTATGAAAGTAGGAAGGATGGTTGGCCTAGAAATACATGAGATCCCAAGTGCATAGGTGGCTGGGAGAGCTCAGGTAGCTTCAATGGAGCGGGAGGCCAGTCCAGGCTAAGGGAGTTCTGGTTCTAAGTCAAAGGTGGGGCCAGGACTCCAATGGTAAGGCTGAATCTTCAAAGGAACTGAGGAGAGATTTAGGCAGGGATCAAGACATTGGAACTGAGAACCAGCCATGTCACGACATCAGCAAATTCAAGAGCAGTTTGTGACAGGTACTGATTTTTTCTTAATCAGACTGTGTCTGGTCACATTTTCTTTAGCAACTTGGAGACATCATTCACATTTGTTAAATGAACAGAGAGAATGATTGTCCTCTCCAGGTCTTCCAGGCTTAATTCATCATGGTTAGAACCACGTTATCTTCTCCCTGTGCCTGAGTCATTAGAGAGAGCAGGACACATCCATTTCCTTTAGTGCAATCAGGGGCTCACCAAAACGATTAGCAGCCAGTATTTCCAGGATCTTAGTGTCTGATAAAGACTACAGGTTATGTGGTTCAAATCAAAGGGTGACCAGGGAGAGAAGAAGTACATTAATTACTTGTAGTGACTCTTGGACTCTCTTTCCCTTGTACAATTAATCTGCTAATTAGAGCTTAATGAACAATATCCATTTTCTTAGCTTCTCATTCTAGCCAAGGATGATCACCTGTGGATTCAACGATTGTCCCTTATATTAATCATCCTCATGACTTCTCATGCAACAAACCCTCCTCCACTTGCTCTGTGAGTTCTGCTTCTGCCCACTCTACTGCAGGACATAGGCCATAGGCCATGAGTACCCATCAAGGCCCAAATCGGTCCTCTTTCTGAGGACCCTGTGGGTCCACTAAGCTCCTAATAACAGCTAACACATATGAATGTGTGCTTCCTAGATGCCAGACTGTTCTGAGTGCTTTGCTGATACATCTCATTTAAGCCTCACAATAGCCCTATGAATTAGACACTATTATTATGCGGGCTTTACAGATAAAGAAACTGAGGCCCAGAAAGGTTAAATCACTTAGATAATAAAGTCACACAGATAATAAGTGGTAGAACCAGAAGTCTAACTTGGGCAGTCTGGCTCCAGAGTCTATGTTTTAACCACTGTGCCTCATGACTTCTTTGCAAGCCACACCTGATTCCTGGCTCTAGAGCACTGGGTCTCAAATTTAGTTCATGACAGAGCAGCCAAGAGTGCTTAGGAAATTGCAGCTTTCTAGGACTTTCCCTAGAGAGTGGGGGAAGACCTTGGCAGGTCTGGATGGGGCCCTGAAATCTGCATGTTTCCCAAGTATCTCAGATGATTCTGATGCAAGCAGCCAAGGGATCCCTTTTAGAGAAATCCTGCTCTTAACTTAGCCCTGCCCCTAGCCCTCGGTAATTTCAGGACATCTAGGTCTGTCATCCAGTGACTCCTGCCAAGTTTGCTCCTGAGAGTTTACATACTAGTCCCTGCTGGGACTTTATAAACTTGTTCTAGTGTATAAGATCTTGCTTTTACCCTCAGACTAAACCCTACCCTGTATCACGGTCCTGGTGATGGGGTTCCCAGCCTGATGTCTGATAATAACCTGCCCAGCTCCCTGAAAATAGGGTGACCAGAGGCCTGACTATGGCCACTTTCCTGTTGCCAGACTAATTCTGATGGCTTGCCTGAGTAGGGTTGCCTATTTATCAAAAAATACAGG